ACGTATGTATGTATTTACATACTTCAAGAGCATAGGTAACAGTAAAATGTAAATAGCTGGAAGCAATGAGTTTTGAGTATTTGTCACATTTTAAGATATAATTTAATTAATCATAAGTTTATATAACTCAATTTTTAACAAAGGCTGTGTTTAACAGCCAGCTTGCAAAAATCCTGAAAATTTGACCACCATCTCTTGTGAGCTGGTACAAGTGGACTCCAGCACACCACTGGACAGATTCAGCACTGGGAAGGAATTCAGTCACACATTGGGAGGCTCCAGATCTTACTCATTTGTAGGACCAAGGCAGGCTCACCTCAAGCAGGGTAGGAGCCAGCATGTAGATTTTGGGGTTGGTAAATGCTGTGGTATGCAATATTCATATTCTTTTCATTCTATTTCTCAGCCACAGCTGGCTGTTCCTAAGCCTAGATAATGGTCATGGAGTCAGGGGCCCCAAGAGTGGGTTCAAACATCAATGGACAGATAAGGAGGAAGGAGGATCTTACTCTACAGGAATGTGTTGTTTTCTTCGGGTGAAGTGGAAGGAAAACTCAATAAAATTGTTGCATACCCAAGAGTTTTTTAGGGAATTAAATGGCCATTGTTTTCTAAAATTCAGGTTTTCTCAGGAGCATCTCAAGAGGTAAGATGGCTTCAGGCTTTGTAATCTGGAGAACAAACAATGGCTCAGAATTTGAAAGGAGAACATCAGAAATTAAAGGATGAATGGAATCGGCTTGACAAACAAGTTTTAACCTTGCAGTCAAGACAGGAATCTTGGGAAGGAAAGAAGAAGGAGGAAGAAAGCACCTGGATCTACAGAGAGTATCAGCCCCACCCTGGTAAAAAAGAAAGGAACCAACTCACTCAACCAATTTCACTTGGGCAACCATGGGGAAGCCCCAGAAGAGAATGGAGCCAGAACTCCAGAGGAAGTACTGTTGGGCTCTGCTGCAGGAATCAAGACGGGCAAAAAGGAATGCTTTTAGTACTATCAGAATAGAGAAGGTTTACTGAAGAGTTAACAAGTTGAAGAACACTCAAGCAGCCCAAGGGAGAGGTCTATGTGGCAAGGACCCAAGGCCTCCCTCCAACAGCCAGCACCAACTGGCCAGCCATGTGAGTGAGGTGAGCAGTCTTAGAAGTTGGCCTCCAGCCCCAGGCAAACCTTCAGATGATGACACCTCTGGCTGACATCTCAACTGCAACCTCATGAGAGACTCTAGCCAAAACCACACAGCTAATCTAATCCTGAATTCCTGACTCATAGGCACTCTTTGAGATAATAAATGCTTATTGTTATTTAAAAAAAAAAAAGAGCTGAGAAAAGGCAGGGTTGGAGGACATACTGTTCTTCCAGGGTTCCTGGGGACACAACAGCTTTAGCTGGAGAATATTGGGGGAGTGTCTCCAGTGTGGACAACCATGGGAACAGGGAGGGGCCTTTGGAGCAGAATGCATAGGCCCAATGAATTCTAGACTAGGAAACAGTTGCATCGGGCCTACTGGGATCCTGGTGACCATGGACAAGTAAAGTGATACAAGTTTAAGATTGGGACTTGGGGAGAGCAAAGCCAGGAAATTATGTGGAAAAACGAACTGTTATAAACGCAAGGTGTCCTGGTCATAAGAGAGGGTGCAAAGTATGTTTCAACCACCCCTCAATGAGGTCGGTCACATGGCTGGGAGATCATTTTCCCCTAGGACAGTCTCCCCATTATCCTTTGTAGTGCATTTGTCCCTGTTGAGTTTTATCTTTCTTTTTCCTCTGCTCCACCTTCCATCTGCCCCTCTACGGTGCATGGCTGGTAATATGCACTGGGTTCTGCGAGATTATGTGATGAGTGGATCAGTGCTTACATTGTGAACTGCCAGGGCTCCCATTTGTTTCCAGGATGTGTTTGTGCTTTGGACCAGAGCAGGGTCTGTGATAATCTTATTTGTCTCATCCGTCCTCTCAATCGTGCTATGTAACACAATAATCAGCAACCATAGGTAGGTATTTAAGTTGAAATTAATTAAAATTCAACATAATTTAAAATTCACTTTCTCAGTCTCACTAGCTACATTTCAAGTGCTCAATAACACTTATGCTCAATGTTCTATATCAGTGTTTCTCCACCTTTTTTTCACTATTGCTTCCCCAAGGAGCCTTTTTAAACATTTCTTTCCTAGTTGTCACCCCCCATGAAATTTTGATAACACAGATGTACTATATACCTGTTTATGTACTATATGTATATCTGTGCTTCATACATGAAAATAGCAAGATTTTTTGCCTCCTCTCCAGTCGGGAACCAATTTTTGCCCCCTTGGAGGCAACATCACCCCCTTCAAGAATGCACGTGCTATATTAACTAGTGCCAAGATTAGGCTGAGGCACCTAAGGTTTAAAATTAAGGAGGAACTCACTCCTAGGGTTGTGCAAGTGGAGGGTCTGCATCTGAAAGTAAGAGCCTCCTTAAATTTTGCACCCTACATGCCTTACTTGCCTCACTCTAGTTCAGTCCTGATGTGAACGTTTCCATCAGGCAGAATGTTCTGTGAGATTAGAATTTTAGAAGGATGGAAACAAGAGAGACTTGGAATTGGAGAAAACCCATTTGGAAGAGCCGTAGTTCAGTCCATGAACATGCCCAGGCCATAGGTGAGTCGTTCTCAACCCTGGCTGCCCACTAGAATCATCTGATGAGCTTAAAAAATCCTGACACCTGGGCCCTACCCGAGGCCAATCAAGTCTGGACCTCTAGGAATGGGGCCTGGGGGGGTGGGCGGGGGGGAGACTGTTCAAGCTCCCAGGTGATTCTAATGCTCCACCTGGGCTGAGAATCCCTGCTGTGAGTACAGAAGAAAGAATCCAAGTTCCAGCCAGTGAATACATCTGGAGGAGACCCCTGCTGGCTGTATTCAAGAGGAAAAAGTAGAAAAGGAGCTTTAATTACTCTATGGAAACAAGGGATTAAGTTGATAAAGGAAGATTGGTAGTGTGAAAAACGTGGAGTAGTGGCATGTCTAGCAAATTTTCTGTCACGAGTGTCGCGTGGTTTGGACCTTATTTATTATATTAAACACTCTCTAGAGGCCTGACTGGACACTATAACTGAGCACCATTGAAATGATAATTAACCCAGGGAAGCTCCTAGGTTCAGTGAAGAGTGTGGTCTTAAGGTTAATTTATTAACTTCCTCCTGACCTTTTCAGCAGCTTCTGGGGCCAATGCCAAAGAGACAGTTTTAAAGCGCTCTTGTTAAATCCAGTGGTCATTTTACATTGGTCTCAGATGAGTAGTAGGGAGAAATTGCAATGACTGAAGTCATGGACAGGATTTTGTCTCCTCTGAGGGGTGACCAAAGCAACACCACCCTTAGTTGAACACAGTCTGGTTGTCAACCTAACTCTAGTTTAAAGGAAAACCAACTGTGGAATGGATATTTGAATTCTAAGTGCCACCAACCATCACCCTCACCCCAGGCCCACCTCCAACACACAGACATGCACACACATCTCAGGAGGATTAGTTATATGCACTAAGGCCTGGGTAGTACAGGTCCTGGGTGTTGGTGGGGAGGGGAGGTTGGCATGAAGAAGAGACAGGCAAGAAGCTCTAGCATGCGCTTAGTGTTTGTCTTTTCTCTTTGGATTCTTATTTATGGATCCCAATCTTGGTTTACTTCTCTCTGATCTGAGGTCACCAGTAGGGTAGGAAAGGATCCAAGCCTTCTCCTAAGTAGAGGCCTAAATAGGATCCGGAGTGGGATGGGGGAGAAGGTGGCCTGCAGTGGGTTATTTAGGATTTACCACTTGAGACAAGTGGTGTGCTCTAGGCTGAGGTGCTCATCAGCCTAACTCAACAAGGAAATAGCGTTGGAGTCTTTGGCCAAAGCTCTGATTCTAATAATAAATAATTCTGCTGGCGTATTCCTCTGTACTTGGAGGGAGTGAGGAGACTAATTGAGCAGGATATTCAAAGATTTGTGTGGAGGTTCATTTCTCAGCTTTCTCTTAATCATCTCCCCAGATGCAGGGCCAACAGGTATCAGTGGCCTTTTATGCTTTAAGCTTGGAGGAGGCTGTTAAGGAAACTAAGTGTTTGGACATTTATACACCTCCCTCCTACTCCCCAAAAATCTGTTGTTCCTTCTGTGTTCCCTAATTAAATGAAGGAAACCCTCATCTATCCCATTACTAAGCTCAAAACCTTAAGTCATCCTAGACTCCTCTCTGTCAGATGCTTTAAAATCTCTTTGTTTTTACCTTCTAAATACCTCTCCCTTCTATCCCATTTTTCTCCATCTCCCTTACTGCCATATCAGTTCTGCACCATCATCTCTCTTCTGTACTCACAATAATCTGTTTTATTTATTCTTTGAAAATTATTGTTAACTGCACAAAACATGAATATATTATCATTTTTTAAAAGTTCAAACAATACAGATAATCAAAAATTCAAGATGTAACCATGGTAATCAGTTGGGAGTGTTGTGTATATTTTCTATGCATATCTATACAGAATAAAATTTACTATTACTTGGGGTTTTTTTAAAACATAAATGGAACTATAACTGGTTTTGCTACTTCCTTTTTTCACTTAACAATATGTCTTGGAGATTTTCCATGTCAGTGTATAGAGACCCGCCTAACTTGGGCTGCTATATAGTATTCCATGGTGTGACAGGCTCCCTCTAAAATGACTCCTGTTTCTTGGTATTCATAGCCTTTTGTAATCCCATCTGTGATATTGTGATTAATTATAAGAAATATATATTTGGTCTTTGTCCCTATTTCTGGCACAGCAACCCTAAAACCCTTGGAATTTCCTATGCTGAGAGCAATCAAAGTATCTTTTTTTATGTTAATGTGGTGACTTTTGGAAAGTACCTAAGGATGGGGGCTGGTTGTCAGTGAAGCCAACCATGTGATTGGAGTGTTGAAACTTTCAGTCCCATCCTCCAACCTCCGGGGAGGGGAGAGGGGCTGGAGATGGAGTTTAATCACCAATGGTCAGTGATTTAATCAATCATGCCTACCTAATGAAGCCTCCATAAAAACCCAGAAGGACAAGGTTCAAAGAGCTTCCGGGTTAATAAACACATGGAAGTGCTGGGAGGGCCGTGCACCCAGAGAGGGCATGGGAGCTCCTCACTCCTTCCCACATGCCTTGCCCTATGCATCTCTTCCATCTGGCTGTTACTGAGTTATATCTTTTTATAATAAACCAGTGATCTAGTAAGTAAATTGTTTCTCTGAGTTCTGTGAGCCACTCCAGCAAATTAATCAAACCCAAGGAGGGGGTTGTGGGAATCTCCCATCTATAGCCATTTAGTCAGAAGCACAAGTGACAAACCTGGACTTGCAATTGGTTTCTGAAGTTGGGATTTGATGCTATCTCCAGGTAGGTTATGTCAGAATTGAATTGAGTTGAATTGTAGGACACCCAACTGGTATTGGAGATTTCCTTGGTGGTGGAAAACTCACACATCAGAGTTGTTGTCAGAATATTACCCTCCCTTTGAGTGACTTGTTCTGTCCAATAGAACATGGCAATGTTGCAGGGATGTCACTTCTGAAATTACTTTACAAAGGATCGTAACTTCCATCTTGCTGATGATACCGGCTCAACACAAAGTTGACATAAGGGAAGCCATATTGTAGAAAAAGAAACCATCTTGTAACTTTGAATGACCTCTGACTAACTCTGTGGATTTTATGGTCCCTCCCAGCTGCTATAAATTGATAACTTTGTTCTTTTGAGTTCCTTAGGAATGTGATGACCCCCCTGCAGAGAGTCTATGCTGATAGCCATCATCAATGACAATTGAAAGGTCAGGGTACAGGGCATTGCTCCAGTCTCTGATGCATATCAAGTAAAACAAAAGACTATCAGGAACTAAGATCAGATGGATGCCCCCACCCGGAGATCAGATGGATGCCCCAACCCTGAGACCAGATGTCTCCCCCACCCAGAGACCAGCCTTCTATATAACTGGCCTGTAGTCTTTGTTCTGTAAGATGGTTCTTTCGGACATTAGTCAGCCATCTTCCCCCTTGTTAGCAAGCTGTAATATACTGCCCTTTCTCTGCCACCACCTTGCCTGTTGATGATTGGCTTTTGTCTTGTGGCTAGCAGATCATGCCCTTTGTGCAGTAACACTAGGAGACTCTCTCTCTTGCTGGCTTTGATGAGGAAAGTTGCCATGGTGGAGAAACCTACATGGATAAGGAAAGCCAGCAGGAAACTGAATCCTGCCAACAATCATGTAAGTGAGTTTGGAAATGGATCCTTCCCCAGTTGAGTCTTCTGATGAAATCTTAGCACTGGCCAACACCTTGACTGCAGCTTGTGAGAGATCATGAAGCAGAGGACAAGGTTAACCTGTGCCCAGACGTGTATGTTTTAAGCTGCTAAGATTGGGGGTAATATATCACATAGCAATAGCTAACTAATAGACATGGCATGGCTATACCATACTTTATATAACAGTTGCCCTTGTCATATAGTCTTTTAACTGAGATCCTGTTCAAATCAATCACGTAAGAAATCACTTATTTATTCCAGAAATACTTTATAAAACAGAATTCTGATCAAGTTACTCTTCTGCTTCAAAACTTCAGAGTGATATGATTAAGGAGATTCTAGGAAGATGGCAAACTGGGTGAACAGCCCCAATCCCTCCCATCTGCAATCTGTCCTTCACGTAACATACATACCAAAATAAGAGTTCTGATAGAAGCTAGAAGGTGTATGAGGCTAGGAGTTATTCTGAGATGAGAGACAGATATGGGGCTTACTTTCTTGGACAGAGGCAAAGATTTTATTGCTCCCTGAGAAGAGATGAATGGTAGACACTGAGGTTCCTTTGGATGTCCTTGTTGGGGATTGCCCTATCTTGCTGATCCCAGGAGACCTGAAATGGAAGTATTTAGTTGGGCTGATTAGATCTGTTTGAGTGATTGAAAGAAAACCATTTGTCCCCTTCTTGGACCCAGAGGTATGAGAGTATAGCCACCTCCTCCACAACCCCAATAGAGGGGAGCAAATTCATGAGTTCATGTCCCACCAATACACAAATAAGTAAGCTACTTCAAAATGATAAAGATTTTTTACCAAAAACCAGTAGCAACTACAATATTAAGCTGAAGTCATTTCTGTCAAAATCACCATTCTTGGCTTTCCTTTGGAGACCTTAACTAATGCAACACATTAATTAGTATTTATTATTATTAATTAAATAATCCATACAAATATTGGAAAAAGAAGAGACAAAAAGTACACTGTTTTCACATGATATGATTGTATATTTAGAAAATCCAAAAGACTCTACCAAAAACCATTTGAAATAATTAAACTTTGGTAAGGTGAGTGATAATAGTTAAATAAACAAGTTAATAAATTTTTCTTCATGCCAGCAATAAACAGTTAAGAAATGGAACTAATAAAAAATAACAGTCTCATTTGTGGTAGATAACAGAATGACCTCCCCCAAAGATGTCCACATACTATTCTTCAAAACCTGTGAATATGTTGCCTTTGTGACGAAAGGAACTTTGCAGATGTGATTAAGTTAAGGACCTGGAGATGAGGCGAGTCTCCTTGATTAGCCAGGCGAGCCCAATGTAATCACAAGCCCTTATAAGAGGGAGGCAGAGTCAAAGAGTAGATGTGACCATGAAAGCAGAGGTAGGAGTGACTCAAGGAAGGGGCCAAGAGCCAAGGAATGCAGGTGGCCTCTACCAGCAGAAAAAGGCAAAGAAATGGGTTCTCTTCTAGAGCCTCCAGAAGGAACACAACCTGCTGACTGCAGCCCTTGATTTTATGATTTCTGGCCTCCAGAACTTAAGATAATAAATTTGTGTATTTGTGTATTTAATTACCACTAAATTTGTGGTAATTGGTTACAGTAGCAATGGGAAACTAATACATCATTCATACTTGTGACAAAAGCTGTAAAATGCCTATGAATAAATTATTCATAGAAGGCACATGATCTACATGAAGAAAACTAAAATCTTATTGAAGGGCATAAAATAAGACCTGAATGGTTGGAGAGAAATATTACATTCCTGGAGAGGAAAACTTGATATCTTAAATTGTCAATCCTTCACAAACTAATATATAACTTTAAGTGAGTTGCAATCAGAATTCCAAGAGAGCTCTTTAGGGAGAAGACAAGGGGATTAAGTGGTTAAAATTATTTTAAATTTCAAATGGAAAAAATAAGAATCTGAGAATAGTCAAGAAAATAATGAAAAAATATGAAGCAATCGGACTTACCTTACTAGATATTAAAGTTTATAATAAAGTTATTGAAATCAAAATAGTATCATAAACTACATCAAAAGACAAATAAGATTTTGATATTGTGCTATAGTTATGTAAGATGCTACCTTTGGGAGAAGCTGGGTGAAGTGTACTTGGGACTCTGTACCATTTTCACAACACCCTGTTAGTCTCTAATTACTTCCAAATAAAAAGGTGTTTTTTTAAAAAAAAAAAAAAAAAAAGGACAAATGATAACCTGGGGAGGGACAGGAACCTTTGCAAAACATATGGATAAAGATTAACAATTACTAATATTCAAAGCGCTTTTACCAATTGATAAGAAAAAGACAACTGAACAGAAAAATGTGCTGGCAACTCACACAGGGAACATGCAAATAGTCAATAAACATGATAAGATGCTCAACGTCAGTAGAAGTCAAGGAAATGCCAATTAAATCAATACAGCCTTTTCTTCACCCATTATATTTGCCAAAATTTACAAGTGAAAAACTGATAATGTCCAGTTCTGGTTTACAGTGTTGAGAAATAGGAATAGCTACAACCTGTTAGAAAAGTAATCTGGAGACAGCCATTAAAATTAAAAATGCATACATCCATTGACCCAGATATCCCAACTTTGGGAATCTATTTTACTGAAATGAGAGCCCCAGTATCCCCAGACTCATCCTCAAGGATGCATACCACTATGTTATTATAATTGCTAAAAATGGACAACTTGTATGCCCACCAATAAGAGAATGGTGGAATAAATAAATGAGTTAACTCTAACTCATCTGGAGGGATGTCTATATATGGTTAAGGGAAAAAAGCAAGTTGCAGAGTGATAAGTGTATTATACCATTTTTGCAATCCAAGCGAGAGCAAATAAGCAAACCAACCAACCCTGAAGAAGAGAAAGGTATGTCAAGATACCCCCCTGATTACCAGCCCTGGCTATCTCCCGGATAGGAGAGGGCAGAAATCATGACCTCTTTTTTCCTTTTATGTCATTTTTTAGCTCTTTAAAATAAACATGTATTTTTTTTATTGAGGTAACATTGGCTTATAACAGTATATAAATTTCAGGTGTACATCATTATATTTTGATTTCTGTGTAGACTACATCATGTTCACCACCCAAAGACTAATTACCATCCATCACCATATACATGTGCCCATGCATTTTTTTTAATTCTTAAAAATCTAATAAAATAAAAAATGTTGATGTCTCCCAATTGCCTATAAAGGGCAAATGCCTCAGCATGACATATAAGGCCTCTATGGTCTAGCCCTTGCCACTTCTAAGGCCTCATCTCTCTCCATATCCCTCCCCCACCCAGTGCTCCAGCCACATCAAGCTACAGTACTTATAGTTTCTTAAATATGACGTCTTGTGTCTCATCTCTGAACCTTTGCACACTCCTCCTGAAAAGCTATTCTTTCTCTTTTCCACCTGGTGAACTCTCATTCTTCAAATCCCAGCTCAAATGACCTGCCCCCCCACCTTTGTATCTTAATGACAACATCTGTACTGTATTGCAATTACCTGTGTGTGGATGTGTGTGCATATCTGTGGTGTCACCCTTCTTTGTGCTCGATCGGCATATGAGAAGTTTTTAATGGTTGCTGAATGAATTAAATTAATCAAATGGGGGCCAGCCAGGTGGCATAGTGGTTAAGTTCAAGCCCTCCGCTTCAGCGGCCCAGGGTTCACCAGTTTGGATCCTGGGCACGGACCTACGCACCGTTTGTCAGGCCATGCTGAGGCGGTGTCCCACATAGAGCAACTATAAGAATGTACAACTATGACATACAACTATCTACTGGGGCTTTGGGGAAGAAAAGGAGGAGGATTGGCAATAGATGTTAGCTCAGAGCCAATCTTCCTCGAAAAAAAAAAATCTTCTAATTAGGGTATCCTTTAAAAAAACAAAATTAATCAAATTGCTGTTTTATAACTTCTGTGTTTTTTGACCTAACGATAGCGTCATTCAGGCTATGTTTTGATGATTTGAGTTTTTGATGTGCCAATGTGGGTGCAACATTTTATAAATAGACTAATACAGCTTGGTTGAATATTTTGTCAAAAGTTGAGACACTTGCAATCACAGTTCTCCAGTTGCTAGAATTCATTTTTAGTTTGGGCTAAATTCCTGAGCAGGGAATAAAATATAAAGAAGAGAATGCAATTGTGCTGTTTTGGAAGTTCAATCAGTAATCTCGCTGCCTTGTCTTTCCCCTAAAGGATGTGTAGTGTCAGTCCTGGGCCTGTTTGCACTCAGATCATTCCCAGCCCTTCCCCCGCTCTGCTCTCTGGTGCAGAAAGGCTGACTCCTGAAGCCTGCATCTCCAGGCTCGTGTCCCACCTAGCTGCCAGCTGAGCTCAGCTGATGGCAGCCCCTGGTGGGAGATAGGAGGGCAGACAGAAGGGAGAAGTCAGGGTATTTCTCCCCCTCTCTGCTTCAGTCACCTGCCTCTCCTCCAGCTGCTCTGAGCCTCTAAGTCTCTGCGGGACACATCTGCGCTCATTCCTCATCCTTTGGGTGCTCTGGTTACACTGGGCCCTGGTTTTACTGCCTCCTCCCTTTGTCTCTACAGCCTAAGAGAGCAATGACTCCCTGCTGTTGCTAATCTCTGGGTTACTTCCTGTACCAGTTCGCTTTTGTTGTGAAACAAACTACCCCAAAACTTAATGACTTAAAACAACCACCATTTATTTGTAGCTCACAATTCATAAGGTAGCAATTTAGATGGGGATCAGCTGAGCCACTCTTCTGCTGGTCCTAGCTGGGCTTGCTCATGCATCCACAGTCAGCTGCCAAGTCAGCAGGGGACACTGCTTTGGGAGCTGGCTGGCTGTCTTCTGGGGCAGTGGTGGGCCCATGTGTCTCTCATCATCCAACAGTCTAGCCCAGGCATATCAGTTGGCAGCTGGTTCCAAGAAAGAGAAGGGAAATAGGAAAAACCTCTTGACGCCCAACCTTAGAACTTGTACAAGATCACTTCCTCCCAAAGCAAGTCAGAAAACCCTCCCAGATTCAAGAGGTAAAGAAACAGACTCCAGGGCCGGCCCCGTGGCGTAGCGGTTAAGTACACGGACTCAGCTGCTGGGGGCCCAGGTTCGGATCCCAGGTGCACACCAACGCACCGCTTGTCAGGCCATGCTGTGGCGGTGTCCCATATAAAGTGGAGGAAGATGGGCACGGATGTTAGCTCGGGGCCAGTCTTCCTCAGCAAAAAGAGGAGGATTGGCATGGATGTTAACTCAGGGCTGATCTTCCTCAAAAAAAAAAAAAAGAAAGAAAGAAAAAAGAAACAGACTCCATTTCTTGATGGGATAGGAAAGATTTGTGGCCCCTTTGCAATCTCCCACCCCTTACTGTTATCTCCTCCATCACCTAACCAAGTCTGTACGTAAATTTCCTCTGTGCTAAGTACTGGAAGTCATTACCGTTTCCCTGGTTAGACCGTGTGTGTATGTCTGAATGTGTTTGGGAAACACGGGTTAAGGAAAACAGGAAAACCTTGTTCCTAATGAGGTCCCTTTGGATTCAAATGTTTCTGTTACAAACATCACCTGCCTAGGCTTCTTTGGAATTAATCATATGACAATATAGATGAATCACAAATTCAACAAAGATGAATTGAGTGTCTACCACGTGGCAGGCATGATACTGGGTATTATAGGCCTTGGAAGGCAGGGCAGTACACAGAGTGAATAAGGCATGGTACTTGCCTAACGTGAGTTAATAGGTGGTGCCTGAAGAGCCAGGCACATAGTAAGTGATAGAGGGGTTTGGTAAGATAGGGAGTAGGAGGATGGCAAAGACAACTATGATGGTAATGCAACTCATGACCTAGTGGGGGAATAAATACGTTGATGAGAGTTTTTTTGATCTGTCTCTGCAACCTAGAAAGCAAGCCCCATGAAAGTGTGGGAGATCAAGATTTGGCCACCCTGAAATCTATCTCTTTACCTTGGTTGTTTTCTCTAGGGACATTTGACCTCCCCCACTAACTGCCTAAAGAATTGGACATGGTGGCTCCTTCCTGGAACAGATCTATCATGATGGCTGTAAAGATAACATAGGGTAAATGTTACAATAGGAAAGGCACCAACAAGCCCCTCTTATCAGAAGTTCTGTCTCTCTGGCCACATTCTCTGGATGACCCTGCAAAGAGTTGCCAGACAATCATTTACATTTATAAGAGGAATCTCCATTTGTAAAGGTATCTCCCTCTCTGTTTGGAGAAGAGAGGGGGATGAGCTCATTTCTAGTGACTTATCAATGTGGAAGGTGAGGCCTTGAGCTACATAATAAACCTTACTCTTGTTTACTGTGCTTTAGTGGTAATCTCCTGTAACTGACTCCCCCCACCCCCAAAATCCTCCTTTGTCATTGGCTGAAAATGATATTTAAGATGAGAATTTCTGCTATTGTGTTGAGACACGCAGTGTCCCTGCTTTCTCCCATGTATACGTGTTATTAAACTTGGTATTATTTTCTCCTGCTAACCTGTCTTGTTGATTATTTGGCCAGCCAGAAGAACCTTAAGGGAAAGGGCCGAGGGAGATTCTCTCTCTTCCCCCGACAAAAGCTAAAGCCTTATCTATGTCACTCACCACTGTATTTCCATTGCCTAACAAAAGGCCAGCCCCCAGGAACTGGTGAATAAATATTTATTGGATGTATGAATGAAAGGTGTATACACAGTGCTAACAGAGTGCAGACGAAAAAGTTAATTCTGAACAGGGGAAATCTTCATAAAAACAGATGAGTTCTAAAATTTAGGCTGAGAAAGAGCTGTCAAATTCTGGCAGGCAGAGAAAGGGACTGAAAGGAAATGGCAAGACCAGCATGAGCAAGATCAAGGAATGTTGCGGGGTGGGCTAGCCTCCCTGGGGGTGGTGGAGCCGCTTCTCTCCAGATCTTCCTGTTATAATCATCACCCGTAGGCACACCCTCAAGGTGCTCGGTGTTGTTTCTCTGAGCCCATCTCACTGAGTATTCAGAAGGTGATTTGAGGGGCCGGCCCGTGGCTTAGCGGTTAAGTGCGAATGCTCCGCTGCTGGCAGCCTGGGTTCGGATCCCGGGCGCAAACGGATGCACCGCTTGTCGGGCCATGCTGAGGCCGCGTCCCACATACAGCAACTAGAAGGACGTGCAACTACGACATACAACTATCTACTGAGGCTTTGGGGGAAAAAAATAAATAAATAAAAATTATAAAAAAAAAAAAAAAAAAGAAGGCGATTTGAGTCCTGAACTGCTCAGATTTTGGTTTTATGAAATGAGTTATAATAATAGTAGAAAATTTTAGGGTATTTGGGGAAATTATGTGAGGTGATGTTTGTAAAATAATTTGCATGAGGCTGACACTTATAAGCACTCAATAAATATCACCTGTTATGGGCTGAATTGTGTTCCCCCAAAATTCATATGTTGAAACTCTAACCCCCACTGCTTCAGAAAGTGACTGCACTTGGAGATAGCGTCTTTAAAGGGGTAACTAAGTTAAAATGAGGCCATTAGGGTGGGCCCTAATCCAATCTTACCGGTGTCCTTATAAGTAGAGGAAATTTAGACACACAGCACCGAGAATGCCCACACACAGAGGAAAGATACAGTAAGAAGGCTGCCATCCACAAGTCAAAGACAGAGGCCTCAGGAGAAGGCCAGCACCTTGATCTTGGACTTTCAGCCTCCAGAACCATGAGAAAATAATTATGTGTTATTTGAGGCCCCTAGTCTGTGGTATTTTGTTATGGCAGCCTTAGCAGACTAATACGTCACCTATTGTTGTTATTATTTTTAAATCCAGATGTGAAAGTGAGGACTAAGGTGCCCTTGGTTTTCCGTACTGATAAAGGCTCACAGACCAGTTGTGCAGAGGAACCCAAAATCCACATTCCTTTTCAGCCCTGCATCATTGGCTGACCAGCTACCGAGACCATTGCTGTATGACTCATGCTGTTGTTTGTTTCAGTGTAGGGTGCAGATCTCTGTAGAAACCAGCTGACAGTTGCTATGAGTCAACAGCAGGGAAGTCCCTGAGATTCAGAGACCTGCTCCATTGCCCAGTCCCCAGCTCCTTTGGGCATGCTGAGAGCGTGTCACCCCAAAATAATGAGGTTCTGCTTTGGTTTCCAAATCATCGCAATTGACCTTCCACCACCCTCTTGAAGGTCAGGAGGTCAGATTCCACCAAAGGCTGCCACAGATGTGGTTTTAAAATAGCCCCTTCAGAAGCCCACAATTAAAACCTAATTACATATCCTTGCCAATTAGTGAAGGAGTTGCCATTTCTAGTGATGGCAGAGTCCCCAAAAGTCCATAGTCTGAAAAGAGGATGTTTGCTTCTCCCTTGTCCCCCAAGAACCCACTCTTCCTTCAGGGGCAGAGAGCTTGTGAACCTCTGCCATGATTTGTAACCCTGAAAAAGTTACTTAACCTCTGACCCTGATGAATTATCTATACGATGGTGCTAACACCTGTTGTTAGAAGAATCAAATGAGATCATTCATTCAGCCAATATTTGAGTGACCTACTATGCATTCATTCTTTCATTCAACAAATATTTACTGAAGATCTGCTACATACCAATGCGTGGGGGATACAGCAGTGAATAATACTAGGAGGTCTCTGCTCCCATAGATCACACCTGCTCAGAGCAGGACAAAGAACAAGTAGATAATAAACAAGATAACTTCCGACGGTGATGTGCTATACAGGAAACAAAACACCGGAACGAGATGGAAACTGACAAGGGGGTAGGTTAGAGGTGGCATGTCATAGAAGGCTTCTCAGAGGCCTGAATGCTAAGTAGGATGTGGGAGAACCTGGGGAAAGAAGATGTTACCAGAAGAAGGCAAAAGGAACCACAGGTGCAGAGGTTCTGGAAGGAGAGATATATTTAGAGAATAGAAAGAAGGGAAGTGGGGAGAGGGGGAGGAGGTCCAGGAGAGACTAGAGAGATGGGCAGATGCCAGATCACATAGGGTCTTTGGGAACATTGGAAGTATGATCATGCCATGATGGAAAGTATAGAAAGCTCTTTGGTCCACACAGACCAAAGAACTGAAAGACCAGTAGCTTAACCTGAGTTAAGACAGAGGAGGAGTGTTTGAAGATGGGGTCCGGGATCAGTCAGGGCCTCCCCGGCTGTGGTCAGAAGTTTGGATTTAATCAGGGTCTAACTGCCTTGACATTGACTGCACATTGGAATCACCCAGGAAGCTTGAAATAAATACTGATGGGCCCCACCCCCACCAATTCTGATATAATTTGTCTGGGATGCAGCCTGGGCATGCGGGGTTTTTTTAAAGCTCTCCAATGACTCTAATGGGCAGCCAAGATC